ATTGATTCCAGTTTGTCGGTGAGCTGAGATGCATGGTTATTTGCTTTTTCTTGTGCTTTTAAGAATTTAAATTTTCTTTAATCTTAGCTTTCTGCGGACACTTCCGATGCTCCATTGGCTATCGAAGACTCGCCCCACTCTATGCTCCAAATTACTTCTCACTCCAAAACCGAGCAGGCAATAAAACAGGAGTCGCCTCCCAGTGTGGAAAGCATAACCAGTCACAACACTGTCCACTTTATTCCTGATGGTGCGCCGTTAACTGCACAGGAAATCTCTCAGCATTTTGATCGTGAGCGCCGTATCTGCCCTGCCAATAGTCGCTTTAAACGCCCCATGGCGCCGGTAATGGACAAGCGCAAATTGGTTGGAATGGGCGGTCAACTCAAGGCTGTAAGCGTCCCTACTCTCCCCATTCATTGGACTTGACTTTAATCTTCATTATTTGGGGATTAAAATTAGCATGGTTGTCGGAAATTACTACATTTTCTAGTCTATTGGCTTCCTATAGGACCAAATACTTTCGCCATTTTGATATCCATGAGACACTGCAAAATTCTTTATTTTTATGGATTGCACATAGTGGACAGCCTTCTTATTCCTTTGATGCAGCTTACAAACCACTAACATATGATGGGTTTTATGATCGTAGCTCCTCCTGGTTCCTTTAATAACCAAACCAGTCCCATCAGTTTTATGATTACCACAGTTTGCTGCCATTGTCTGCACCGCTATGACATTGAACGTTTGTTGCTGACTTCTCTCTGAGCCCTAAGGCTCCTGAAAAGAGTGCGACTTCATCCCATAGCTCTAAAGCTTTACAGACGTTTGATGCTTCTTTTTCTGAATGGTCGATTCTCTAGTTATTCAAAGATTAATTATACCTATCCTTGTGTAGGCTTTGCATCTCTCTGATCTCGTCCACAGTAGCATATTTTGCAAGCATTATTATAATTCTTTGTGATGCATTGTGCGTACACAGTGATCGGGAAATAGGATCCCTACTGTTTTGTATTTTAGCTCTATGAAACACTGCCTTTGCATTGCGCAAAGTTCGATGCAGTTATACTGCAAAACTTTTGACTTACATAGTCTAGTCATCTAACCACAAGTTTCTATGCCTATTGATTTTCGAAGCTCCCACACCCATTAATTCTTAAGTGAACCAAAGTCAATGATTTTGGTGTTGATATGATCTTCTAGGAAGCCCAAACGATTTATTATTTCACGTAATCGGATGTGGAATTCTCCTGTTGGCCGGCCGAGAAAATTAGCTTTATAGCCTAACTGGTCAAAACTACTGCCTTCTTGTTGGACTTTGTAGGGTCGGTTCGGCATCGACGGGAAAGAAGTTGCAGGCACCGAAGGCCTACTAGCAACACCACAAGTTGGTGGCTACAAATTCATGGATACCTCAGCTTCGCCCGCCCTCTCAGTATTCGGCGGAGCAGGCAGCACACCCCTCATGACTTGGGGCGAGGTGGACTCCACACCCTATCGGCTGGACGAGGAAACAGGTCACACACCTCTTGTTTCTTCCTTCCGCCTTCCTTCGCCTTCGAAACGCGAAGCTCTTGCGCATCAGTTGGCTGACAGGGCAGGCCGTCAGCGAGCGAAGGGTCGAGCAGAAGCCATGAAACTAGCCAAAAGCGGTCTCCTCCTCAGTCCCTACGCGGCGAAAATCATGCTTTCACCGGCAGCGAAACGTCTCCTGTCCACTACCACTGGTAGTAGTAGTGGCGGAAAGCTGGCCTTTGGCGGACGTCCAAATTCAAGTGTTCGAGCAACTCCATTGGGCTTAACACCGCGTCGACTGCCCTCGGATATCGGAGTAGTTCGACGACCACCAACATCATCTGTAAACAAGCCATCGACTCCGAGACGGGAAAGTGATGGAGGAAGAAGGGGATTAGAGAGTGCAGCAGACTTAACAAAAGATCTGCTCAACCTCTCGGGGTCGAAAAGTGCTGCCTCACCAACTAGTTAGAAGTGACTTCGTGGCGGACCGCTC